CCTAGCAGGGCGCCCCCCCGGAGGAGACACTACCCTAGCAGGGCGCCCCCCCGGAGGAGACACTACCCTAGCAGGGCGCCCCCCCCGGAGGAGACACTACCCTAGCAGGGCGCCCCCTAGGGGGGATAGGGTGACACTACGCTAGCACAGCGCCCCCCGGAGGAGACACTACCCTAGCAGGGCGCCCCCCAGGAGGTGATAAGGTGACACTACACTAGCACTGACTTCTGTGTACAGATGATGGGGTGTGCAGAGGTCACACACAGACACACAATCTCTGGGGAAAGGATAACATTTTCTTGCCAGAAAAATGCCGCCCCCCATTGCAGTACATTGTAATGGGGAAGTCCAAGCTGAAAATCATTTCAAAGGATTTGGAGGATGTGAAATTTATCAAAGTGTCTCGGAATATCCTTCATCCTGCTCTGTGACCTCTGACCTCCATGGACAGACATGAACAGCTACAAATACAGAGAAGGACAGACAAGCACAGAGACGGGCACAGGCAGGCACAGACAGGCAGCGGGCGGGCGGGCACAGAGACAGGCGGGCGGGCACAGAGACAGGCGGGGGGCACAGAGACAGGGCGGGCGGGCAAGCACAGAGACGGCGGGCGGGCAAGCACAGAGACCGGCGGGCGGGCAAGCACAGAGACCGGCGGGCGGGCAAGCACAGAGACCGGCGGGCGGGCAAGCACAGAGACCGGCGGGCGGGCAAGCACAGAGACAGGCGGGCGGGCAAGCACAGAGACAGGCGGGCGGGCAAGCACAGAGACAGGCGGGCGGGCAAGCACAGAGACAGGCGGGCGGGCAAGCACAGAGACAGGCGGGCGGGCAAGCACAGAGACACAGAGACAGGCAGGCGGGCACAGAGACAGGCACACTGCAGTAAAAATCGACTTACTTGTTTTTCTCTGAAATAGGAAAGAAAAATGAGAAAGTTAGTAAAGTTTTACAGACACCCCCTCCCCCCTCTCCCATTACCGCCCCCCTCTAGAAGAGTTATTAGTGCTTCATCCTCCTCAGAAGGAGGTAACTCCACTCGCTGTATTATTAGGGGAGGGACCAAGTACTAGAAGAACCAATCACTAGAGAGCAGCACTGTCCTCTACCCTCCCCAGAGGAGCTGCCAGCTCAGACACTCACTGCCAATGTATCCTCGGTGATAGGCAAACCAGACGCCAAACGCGATCAGTCCAAGAATCAGGAGGCTGACGATGACGGCGGCCACTATTCCTCCAACGTTCACATCCTCTGCAGGATACAAGAATGTCAGAGCTGGGATACAAGTACAGCCAATCCCCCGCATGGCTGCCATACTTACTGACATCCATCTGAACCGGTGCCGACGCCTGCTTCCCCTGAGAGTTCGATGCTTGGCAGTAATATTGTCCGGCGTCCGTCTTCATCATCGGACTGAATTGCTGTAACATGGAAACCGAACCGTATATGAACAAAAGGCGGCAAAAGATCGACTAGAGAGCGATTATTACTGAGATCTGTACAGAATGGAGGACTGAAGACCATTATACAGTCGTGGGAAAAAGTAAGTACACCCCCCGCCATGGGCTGGATTTTCCAACAAAACGTCAACAGGCAAAAATTCGATCTGTACTCGACCATTGCCTACCGATTTCTATATTATTGCTGGATTGGATCGTATTGATGGGGGAAACCCTTTGCTGAGACATGGTCTTCTTCCTGTGGGGGTGGATCGCATGAAAAATCCAGTAGGCTCGTTGTACCCAGACTGATCAATATCAATCAACTTGGGTACATTCGGCCTGCCCATACATGGTTTGAACCTCGCCCGGTTCAGCAGGGACCGAACCATCTATGGTCAGCTTTATAACCGCAAAGCACCCTCCCACCAATACCACCCCCCAGTGAGGACATCCCACGGTGCAAGGGGAAAAGACATCCCAAGTAGGAGGTGAAGGAAAGATCACAAAAGTCCATCAAACCAAAACCTACAACATCCGAGCCGAAATAAAACCTCTCCAGAAATGGCTCCTCTATACAAACCAAGTGCTCAGAGGATGGCGGCCATTATACATGGTAAGTACCAGGCAGGGACAGACCTCCGATCAGCACCCCACTCCAGACAAAATCAGGAGATCTAGAGGCAGACACCCGAGGGCCCCCCTAGTCCTGAAGACACCATTAGGGTCTACATCCTGTGTGCTTCACCACTGATGGATCTTCATGAACTCCTCCCGCTCAAGAGCTCTCTACTGGAGCTCTGCCGACAGATGAGTAAATCTACCTTCTGACCTTCCACTCCTGGAATGAGGACCGTGGATGGGATGTTCACTCAGAACAGGAAGAGATCCACTTTCTCCGGGGAACACTTTCCACTCCTGGAATGAGGACCATGGACGGGATGTTCGCTCAGGACGAGATCCACTTTCTCCAGGGGACACTTTCCACTCCTGGAATGAGGACCATGGATGGGATGTTTTGCCGAGGACAGGATGAGATCCACTTTCTCCAGGGACACGTTCCACGCCTAGAATGATGGGACCGGGAACAGGATGTTATCCACTTCCTCCTGGGACACATTCCACTCCTAGAAAGATGACCGTGGAAGGAATGTTCACTCAGGGAAGGATGAGATCCACTTTCTCTTGGGATACTTTCCACTCCTGGAATGAGGACCGTGGATGGGATGTTCTCTCAGAAAGGATGAGATCCACTTTCTCTTGGGATACTTTCCACTCCTGGAATGAGGACCGTGGATGGGATGTTCTCTCAGAAAGGATGAGATCCACTTTCTCTTGGGATACTTTCCACTCCTGGAATGAGGACCGTGGATGGGATGTTCTCTCAGAAAGGATGAGATCCACTACTTCCTGGGCCACCTGCTTGTTTGGTTATGTGAGGCACAGCCATGGCATGTCAGGCTGAACCCTTCCAGGGAGACTTTGTAGCCACATCCAGCAATGTGGGAGAGCAAGTCGAATCTCCTGCAGTCCCAGAATATTGGTGGGCAACAACTTTTCCTGTGGAGACCAAGTTCTCTGTACAACGAGATCCAAGAGAGGAAGAAAGACTTTCCCATCTCCAGTAGCCATGAAGACAGTCACCAGTTCAGTTTCCTCACATCCCAGAACTTGACCATCCCTGTCCAATGATTGCACCCCTCTGTCCCAGACCACCAGAACATTCTGCTGCAGTTACCTGAAATGAAACTCAAAGGGAACCGCCTCAAACAAGGCCACCATCTCCCCCAAGACCCTCACGCAAAAGGTGAATGAAGAGTTCTCAGCTAATTGAGGGAATCCACCTGATTCCTCAGAGCAAAGTGTTTTCCTGGAAGGAGAATCCCTCTCACCTGGGAAGTCTCCAGGAGCAAACCCAGATATTCCAATCGCTGGGCCAGAAGCAACACAGATCTCGGGAGTCTGAGACCCCAGCTAAACCTCTCCAGAACGTGTACTGCGAGAGACACCTTGTACTCCAGAAGAGGAGCAGATTCTTAGAATCAAATCATCCAGGTACCCTAGAATACAGTAGGTACCCCCTGGGTCCTTGGTAGGCCCAGAATTGGAGCCAGGACCTTGGGGGACATTCTGAGAGCCATGGACAGGCTGAACAGCAGGGCCACAAATTGAAAACGACTACCCTCCACCTCAGACTGGGGAAACTTCTATTGAAGAGGAGGATCAGGGTGTGCAGGTAGGCATCCTTTTGTCCAGCAATTCCAGAAATCCCTGGCTGGAGAGAGGCCACTGAAAGGATCTAGAGAACCCCCATTGTGCTGATGTACGCCATTTTAAGTATTCAGTTAGGTTTTTGCAGATATATTAGAAGTTTAATGAAACTATTTTAGTTGCTCAAGGATGTATCAACAGAAGCCAACATGACCCTGACAATGTCTTTGGTTGTTTCTCAGAAAGTTAGCCAAAACAATTTGTACCAAGAAATGTATAAGTCATGTTTCATGTAGTCAGCTCATGGTGGAAACTTACAAGTTACAGTTTTTGAAACTCGCTCACCCCCCTCCCCCATCCCTTATTTTTCTGTATCATCTTAGTAATGTCTAATAAACTTGGAACATCTCTGAACATAAGCTGCCGTTATTTCCGTGTTCAAGGGGTGTTCCCAGAATTCTGCTGATAAACCAGGAATCTCTCCACAGACCGGGGGGGGGGTCTCTGAGGGGATAAAGAAAATCATCCTTTCAGCCACCACTGAACTCTGATTCTATCTGGAACTTCAGCACTCAGAGAAACCTAGTGAGAAATTTAAGGTCCAGAATGGGCTGAATATCTCAGTTTGGGTTTGGAAACCCAAGAAATTGAGACTGAACCCACAGAACAATTTGTCTTCTAGAACCGGGACCCTCACTACTTCAGAAGATGGAGAACTTACAACGTATCCAGTCCTGGAGGAGGTTCTAATCATTGGGAGAGTGGACTCCGGATTTCCTGGTTTAGGCTTGAGGTAGATGTAGGGTTGTATCTACTCGCTCCATGTGACAGATCGTGTAAATGAACACACCATGTGGAATGAGGTCTCATTTCTTCTGTGAGTCCAGATCTAGTGTCTCACCATTCAAAATATGCCGGAAAAGTCCATTTCCCAGGGAAGGAAGGGGGGGGCCTTACTTTTCATGTGACATTAACCCATAACTAGTACAGGGGGGTACCAACAGGTCAGGGAGTGGTATGGTTCAGAATGTGTTGGAAAAGTCCATTTCCCAAGGTGTACTTACTTTTTCATGCGAGGTTACACTAGTGACAACCCGTAACTAGTAGAGTGGGCACTAACCGGTCAGGGATTGGTATGGGGACCCATAACTAGTACAGTGGGCACTAACCAATCAGGGATTGGTATGGGGACCCATAACTAGTACAGGGTGTTAGTGGGTCACCATACCTAGTACAGTGGATGGTCAGTAACTGGTATATGGTGTGCAGCTTACCAGCTGTCCAGTTGTTGGATCCAGAGTGTAGCTGGAGTTCTGGAAGGTGGGGCTGTCCTTTGGGTTTTGGGGCATCAGGACACCGTCCTTATACCAAGAGAAGGTGGGTGGTGGTGAGGCGTCCTTCTCAATGCAGTACAGGGTTGCGGTACTCCCGGTAGTGACAGAGGTTGGTACCTGAGCGGTGGGCACTGAGGGGGGAACTGGAGAACAGAGAGAGAGAGTCAGAGGACATTCCAACATCTCCTACAAAAGTCACAGTACTGAGGTCACCAATAATCTCACCCAACACCACCAGCTGAGACTTGTCATTGAAGTACTGCACAGTCCCACTGGAATCCGTTCCGGTCACCTCACACGAATAGTCTCCACTGTCCTTCCTGGTCACCGAATTCAGCCGCAGGCCTTGCTGGAAGAAGGACGCCCGGTTCTTATAGGGGGCTGTGAGGGAAACCAACAGGTTAAAAGGAGAACGACCACCTGACCGGGACAAGTGAGGGGTCACCCAGGTAGTCCCTAACGCCCCCCCACAAATACAGCTGGGGATCGGTGACGTACCTGTCAGATCCTTGTCATAGTACACCAGGGTGGTATCAGTGCCTGATGAGAACTTCCACTCCACACGTGGGTTCTGGTAGTTGGAGGGATAATTGCACCGGAACTCAGCATCTGAGGAGGAAGAGCAAAGTATGAGCGTACTTCAGAGTGGGACTGAGGACAACTGGAGCGGCAACGCGCCCGCACACTCCCGGAGCGGCAACGCGCCCGCACACTCCCGGAGCGCCAACGCGCCCGCACACTCCCGGAGCGCCAACGCGCCCGCACACTCCCGGAGCGCCAACGCGCCCGCACACTCCCGGAGCGCCAACGCGCCCGCACACTCCCGGAGCGCCAACGCGCCCGCACACTCCCGGAGCGCCAACGCGCCCGCACACTCCCGGAGCGCCAACGCGCCCGCTGAGCCGCCTTCCAGTTCCTTTGCCGAGCGGCTGCCCTGTGACCGTGGGGTTTTGTTCACACTGCATGGTGCAGAGGGTGTTCGGTGAATGGCTCCTGTGCCAAGTGAGCGACCCCCTGTGGTTGCTGTGCAGCAGGACAGCAGCTCGGCAGGGGACAAACGAGACTCATTGGTTATCGTCACCACCAAAACCGACAGATCTGATTGGATGAACTCGAACCTTTTTATTTTTTTCTTATAACAAAAAAGACTTACTGGCTCCTTCCTTCAGGCTGATTGTTTCAAAAGACAGAACAGCTGTCCCTGTGTAGAGAAGAAAACATGGTGAGTACAGGAGGAGCGGGGAGAGAAGAGCGAGGGGACGGGGGCCGGGAGGAGGAGAGGGAAGAGGAGGGGGAAGAGCGAGGGGACGGGGGCCGGGAGGAGGAGAGGGAAGAGGAGGGGGAAGAGCGGGGGACGGGGGGGCCGGGAGGAGGAGAGGGAAGAGGAGGGGGAAGAGCGAGGGGACGGGGGCCGGGAGGAGGAGAGGGAAGAGGAGGGGGAAGAGCGAGGGGACGGGGGCCGGGAGGAGGAGAGGGAAGAGGAGGGGGGAAGAGCGGGAGGGGGAGGGGGCCGGGAGGAGGAGAGGGAAGAGGAGGGGGAAGAGGAGAGGGAAGAGGAGGGGAGGAGGGAGGAGAGGGAAGAGGAGGGGGAAGAGGAGAGGGAAGAGGAGGGGAGGAGGAGAGGGAGAGGAGGGGAGGGGAGGAGAGGGAAGAGGAGGGAGAGGAGGAGAGGGAAGAGGAGGGGGGAGGAGAGGGAAGAGGAGGGGAGGAGGAGAGGGAAGAGGAGGGGGAGGAGGAGAGGGAAGAGGGGGGGGGAGGAGAGGGAAGAGGAGGGGAGGAGGAGAGGGAAGAGGAGGGGAGGAGGAGAGGGAAGAGGAGGGGAGGAGGAGAGGGAAGAGGAGGGGAGGAGGAGAGGGAAGAGGAGGGGAGGAGGAGAGGGAAGAGGAGGGGAGGAGGAGAGGGAAGAGGAGGGGAGGAGGGAGAGTGGAAGAGGGAGGGGAGGAGGAGAGGGAAGAGGAGGGGAGGAGGGAGGGAAGAGGAGGGGAGGAGGAGAGGGAAGAGGAGGGGAGGAGGAGAGGGAAGAGGGAGGGGAGGAGGAGAGGGAAGAGGGAAGAGGAGGGGGGGACGGGGGGGAAGAGGGGAGGGGAGGGAAGAGGGGAGGAGAGGGAAGAGGGGAGGAGAGGGAAGAGGGGAGGAGAGGGAAGAGAGGGGAGGAGGGGAAGAGGGGAGGAGAGGGGAAGAGGGGAGGGGGGAAAAGAGGGGAGGGAGGGAAGGGGGAGGAGAGGGAAGTGGGGAGGAGAGGGAAGAGGGGAGGAGAGGGAAGAGCGGGAGGGGGAAGAGGGAGGGGCCAGGGAGGGAAGGGGAGAAGAGCGGGGGGGGACGGGGGAGGGAGCGAGGGGGGGAGGAGGGGAGGAGGGGGAGGGAAGAGGGGGGGGAGGGAGAGAGGGAAGGGCGGAGAGAGCGAGGGGGCCAGGGGGAGAGGGAGGAAGGGGGGGAGAAGGCGAGGGGGGGGGGGAGAGGGAAGAGGGGGAGAAGAGCGAGGGGGGGGGGGGGAGAGGGCGAGGGGGGAGAAGAGCGAGGGGGCCGGAGGGGAGAGGGAAGAGGGGGAGAAGAGGGAGGGGGCCGGAGGGAGAGGGGGGAGGGGGGAGAAGAGCGAGGGGGGGTGGGGGGGGAGGGTGGGAAGAGGGGGGAAGAGCGAGGGGGGGGAGGGAGAGGGGAAGAGGGGGGAAGAGCGGAGGGGGAGGGGGGGGGCGGGGGAGTGGAGGGGGGGGGGGAGCGAGGGGGCGGAGGGAGAGGGAAAGAGGGGGAGAAGAGGAGGGGGGGGGAGGGAGAGGGAGGAGGGGGAGGGCGAGGGGGCGGAGGGAGAGGGGGAGGGGGTGGAAGAGGAGGGGGGGAGGGAGGGAGGGAGAGAGGGGGAGAAGAGCGGGGGGGGCCGGGGGGAGAGGGAAGAGAGGGGGAGAAGAGGGGGGGGGGCCGGGAGGGAGAGGGAAGAGGGGGAGGGGGGAAAGAGCGAGGGGGGGGAGGGGGGAGGGAGGAGGAGGGGGAGAGAGCGAGGGGGCCGGGGGGGAGAGGGAAGAGGGGGAGAGAGGGGGAGGGGGCCGGGGGAGAGGGAAGAGGGGGGGGGGGGAGGGGGGGGGGGGGAGAGGGAAGAGGGGGAGGGGGGGGGGGGGGAGGGGGAGGGAAAGAGGGGGAGAAGAGCGAGGGGGGGGAGGGAGAGGGAAGAGGGGGATGGGGAGCGAGGGGGGCCGGGAGGGAGAGGGAAGAGGGGGAGAAGAGCGAGGGGGCCGGAGGGGAGGAAGAGGGGGGGAGCGAGGGGGGGGGGGGAGGGAGAGGGGAAGAGGGGGAGAAGGCGAGGGGGCCGGAGGGGAGGGAGAGGGGGAGAAGAGCGAGGGGGCCGGAGGGAGAGGGAAGAGGGGGGGAAGAGCGAGGGGGGCGGAGGGAGAGGGAAGAGGGGGAGAAGAGCGGGGGGGGGGGGGGGCCGGGGGGGAGAGGGAAAGAGGGGGAGAAGAGCGAGGGGGCCGGAGGGAGGGGGAAAGAGGGGGGAAGAGAGGAGGGGGGGGGAGGGCGGGGAGAGGGAAAGGGGGGGAGGAAGGAGGGGGGGGGGGGAGGGGAAGAGGGGGAAAGAGCGAGGGGGCCGGAGGGAGGGGAAGAGGGGGAGAAGAGCGAGGGGGCCGGAGGGAGGGGAGAGGGGAAAGGGGGGAGAAGAGCGAGGGGGCCGGAGGGAGAGGGAAGAGGGGGAGAAGAGCGAGGGGGCCGGAGGGAGAGGGAAGAGGGGGAGAAGAGCGAGGGGGGCCGGAGGGAGAGGGAAGAGGGGGAGAAGAGCGAGGGGGGGGAGGGAGAGGAAAGAGGGGGAGAGAAGGCGAGCGAGGGGGGGGAGGGAGAGGGAAGAGGGGGAGAAGAGCGAGGGGGGGGAGGGAGAGGAAGGAGGGGGGGAGAAGAGCGAGGGGGGCGGGAGGGAGAGGGAAGAGAGGGGAGAAGAGCGAGGGGGGGGGAGGGGAGAGGGGGGAGGGGGAGAGGGGGGAAGAGCGAGGGGGGCCGGAGGGAGAGGGAGAGAGGGGGAGAAGAGCGAGGGGGCCGGGGGGGAGAGGGAAGAGGGGGAGAAGAGCGAGGGGGGGGGGAGGGAGAGGGAAAGAGGGGAAGAGGAGGAAGAGCGAGGGGGGCCGGAGGGAGAGGAAAGAGGGGGAGGAAGAGGGGGGGGGGAGGAGGGAGAGGGAAGAGGGGGAGAAGAGCGAGGGGGGCCGTGGGGGAGAGGAAGAGGAGGGAGGGAGAAGAGCGAGGGGGCCGGAGGGAGAGGGAAGAGGGGGGAGAAGAGCGAGGGGGCGGAGGAGGGGGAGGGAGAGGAGAGGGGGAGAAGAGCGAGGGGGCCGGAGGGAGAGGGAAGAGGGGGGAGGAAGAGCGAGGGGGGCCGGAGGGAGAGGGAAGAGGGGGAGAAGAGCGGAGGGGGGCCGGAGGGGAGAGGGAAGAGGGGGAGAAGAGCGAGGGGGCACTTGGAGGGAGAGGGGAGAGAGGGGAGAAGATCCGAGGGGCTTTACACCACGGCATCCGAAACGCTTTGTATTACACTTGGTGATGGAAGGCTTGGATGCAGCTGCTCTAGAGTCCAGTGGCGGCGTGCTTTACACCACGGCATCCGATGCTTTGCATTGCACTTGGTGATGGAAGGCTTGGATGCAGCTGCTCGGCCATGGAAACCCATTCCATGAAGCTCTCTACACACTGTTGTTGGGCTCATCTGAAGGCCACACCAAGTTTGGAGGTCTTTAGCTATTGACTCTGCAGACAGTTGGTGACTTCTGCGCACTGTGCGCTTCAGCATGCGCTGACCCCGCCCTGTCATGTGACGTGGCCTACCACTTGGTGGCTGAGTGGCTGTTGCTCCCAGTTGCTTCCACTTTGTTATCATCCCACTAACAGTTGGTGGAATATTTAGTAGCCAGGAAATGTCACGGATGGACTTATTGCACAGGTGGCCACCTATCACGGGACCACGCTTGGAGTCACTGAGCTCCTGAGAGCGACCCATTCTTTCACCAATGTTTGTAGAAGCCGCCTGCATGCCTAGGGGCGTGATTGTATACACCTGTGTCCATGGAGGGGATTGGAGCACCTGAATCACATGATATGGAGGGGATTGGAAACACCTGAATCACATGATTGGGAGGGGATTGGAACACCTGAATCACATGATATGGAGGGGATTGGAACACCTGAATCACATGATATGGAGGGGATTGGAACACCTGAATCACATGATGGGGAGTGGATAGGAACACCTGAATCACATGATGGGGAGGGGATAGGAACACCTGAATCACATGATATGGAGGGGGGGGGGGGGGGGGGGACACCTGAATCACATGAGTATGGAGGGGATCGGGACGCCCGAATCACACGACGGGGGGGGGGGGGGATCAGGACGCCCGAATCACACGACGGGGGGGGGGGGGGATCGGGACGCCCCGAATCACACGACGGGGGGGGGGGGGATCGGGACGCCCGAATCACACGACGGGGGGGGGGGGGGGATCGGGACGCCCGAATCACACGACGGGGGGGGGGGGGGGGGGGATCGGGACGCCCGAATCACACGACGGGGGGGGGGGGGGGGATCGGGACACCCGAATCACACGACGGGGGAGGGGGATCGGGGACACCCGAATCACACGACGGGGAGGGGGGGGGGATCGGGACACCCGAATCACACGACGGGGAGGGGGGGGGGGGATCGGGACACCCGAATCACACGACGGGGAGGGGGGGGGGATCGGGACACCCGAATCACACGACGGGGGGGGGGGATCGGGACAATATAGTGTATGTACAGGAGGGGGGGGGGGATTCGGGACACCCGAATCACACGACGGGAGGGGGGGGGGATCGGGACAATATAGTGTATGTACAGGAGGGGGGGGGGGATCGGGACACCCGAATCACACGACGGGGGGGGGGGGGGGGGGGATCGGGACAATATAGTGTATGTACAGGAGGGGGAGGGGGATCGGGACGCCCGAATCACACGACGGGGGGGGGGGGGGGGGGGGGGGGAATCGGGACAATATAGTGTATGTACAGGAGGGGGAGGGGGATCGGGACGCCCGAATCACACGACGGGGGGGGGGGAATCGGGACAATATAGTGTATGTACAGGAGGGGGGGGGGATCGGGACGCCCGAATCACACGACGAAGAGGGGGATCGGGACGCCCGAATCACACGACGGGGGGGGGGGGGGGGGGATCGGGACAATATAGTGTATGTACAGGAGGGGGAGGGGGATCGGGACGCCCGAATCACACGACGAGGGGGGGGGGATCCGGACGCCCGAATCACACGACGAGGGGGGGGGGATCGGGACAATATAGTGTATGTACAGGAGGGGGAGGGGGATCGGGACGCCCGAATCACACGACGGGGGGGGGGAATCGGGACAATATAGTGTATGTACAGGAGGGGGGGGGGATCGGGACGCCCGAATCACACGACGAAGAGGGGGATCGGGACGCCCGAATCACACGACGAAGGGGGGGGGGGGGATCGGGACAATATAGTGTATGTACAGGAGGGGGAGGGGGATCGGGACAATATAGTGTATGTACAGGAGGGGGAGGGGGATCGGGACGCCCGAATCACACGACGAGGGGGGGGGGATCCGGACGCCCGAATCACACGACGGGGGGGGGGGGGATCGGGACAATATAGTGTATGTACAGGAGGGGGGGGGGGGGATCGGGACGCCCGAATCACACGACGGGGAGGGGGGGGGGGGATCGGGACAATATAGTGTATGTACAGGAGGGGGGGGGGGATCGGGACGCCCGAATCACATGACGGGGGGGGGGGGGGGGGGGGGACAATATAGTGTATGTTACAGGAGGGGTGTGTATATATATATATACACACATGGGAGGGGGAGGGGAGCAGGAAGAGGCGGCGGGATGATCGGTTGGACGGGTCGGATCACATTCTTCACTTGTAGAGAAACTGGAGGAGTTTCTGATGGGAGGAGGAAATGCCCACCGGAGTCATCCAGGCCCCTCCTACTAATCATGGTAACCCATAGCAACCTCACCTCCCCACGACCAATAAAAGGCTGCTGATCGGTTGCTATGGGTTACTAGTACAGAAATCCATCACTGGTCCCCACATCAGCCGATTGGATGACCCCGATCTCACGTTTCCGGATCAATCCCAGAAGACCCCACCCCCCAGGGGTCACCATATTGTGGGCGGAGTCACCCATGTACTGGGAGGTCCCCTGAGGTGACAGCACACACCAGGCTCCTCCCACCACTAATCCAGGAGGAGGGAGCAGAGTTCAGGGAGAGTTCAGAATAGGCCGACAGTGGGAGAGTACCCGGGAACCAATCAGAATATCTAGAGAGAGTGGGTGGAGCCTGACACTTAGGAGGAGCCCACCGAAAGAGCAGGCCAGGCAAGTGCTCCCCCGTACTCAGGTAGGGGCTGCCGCCAGTTGGACCCTCCCCCGCACTCGGGTAGGGGCTGTCGGGTAGGGGCTCCCCCGCACTCGGCTAGGGGCTGTCGGGTAGGGGCTCCCCCGCACTCGGGTAGGGGCTCCCCCGCACTCGGGTAGGGGCTCCCCCGCACTCGGGTAGGGGCTGTCGGGTAGGGGCTGTCGGGTAGGGGCTCCCCCCGTACTCCGGTAGGGGGCTGTCGGGTAGGGGCTCCCCCCGTACTCCGGTAGGGGGCTGTCGGGTAGGGGCTCCCCCGTACTCGGTAGGGGGCTGTCGGGTAGGGGCTCCCCCCGTACTCCGGTAGGGGCTCCCCCCGTACTCCGGTAGGGGCTCCCCCCGTACTCCGGTAGGGGCTCCCCCCGTACTCGGTAGGGGGGGTGTCAGGTAGGGGCTCCCCCGTACTCAGGCAGGGGGTGTCAGGTAGGGGCTCCCCCGTACTCAGGCAGGTGATAGGAGCGGTAGGTGCTCCGTACAGGTAAGTGCTCACCCAGGCTCCCCTGGGGCTCCCCTGTACTCAGGTAGGGGGTGTCAGGTACTCAGGTAGGGGCTGTCAGGTAGGTGCTCCCCCGTACTCAGGTAGGGGCTGTCAGGTACTCAGGTAGGGGGCTGTCAGGTAAGTGCTCCCCTGTACTCAGGTAGGGGCTGTCAGGTAGGGGCTCTCCTGTACTCAGGTAGGGGCTGTCAGGTAGGGGCTCCCCCGTACTCAGGTAGGGGCTGTCAGGTAGGGGCTCCCCCGTACTCAGGTAGGGGCTGTCAGGTAGGGGCTCCCCCGTACTCAGGTAGGGGCTGTCAGGTAGGGGCTCCCCGTACTCAGGTAGGGGCTGTCAGGTAGGGGCTCCCCCGTACTCAGGTAGGGGCTGTCAGGTAGGGGCTCCCCGTACTCAGGTAGGGGCTGTCAGGTAGGGGCTCCCCCGTACTCAGGTAGGGGCTGTCAGGTAGGGGCTCCCCCGTACTCAGGTAGGGGCTGTCAGGTAGGGGCTCCCCCGTACTCAGGTAGGGGCTGTCAGGTAGGTGCTCCCCGTACTCAGGTAGGGGCTGTCAGGTAGGTGCTCCCCCGTACTCAGGTAGGGGCTGTCAGGTAGGGGCTCCCCCGTACTCAGGTAGGGGCTGTCAGGTAGGGGCTCCCCCGTACTCAGGTAGGGGCTGTCAGGTAGGGGCTCCCCCGTACTCAGGTAGGGGCTGTCAGGTAGGGGCTCCCCCGTACTCAGGTAGGGGGGTGTCAGGTAGGGGCTCCCCTGTACTCAGGTAGGGGGGGGTGTCAGGTAGGGGCTCCCCTGTACTCAGGTAGGGGGTGTCAGGTAGGGGCTCCCCTGTACTCAGGTAGGGGGTGTCAGGTAGGGGCTCCCCTGTACTCAGGTAGGGGGTGTCAGGGTAGGGGCTCCCCTGTACTCAGGTAGGGGGTGTCAGGTAGGGGCTCCCCTGTACTCAGGTAGGGGGCGTCAGGTAGGGGCTCCCCTGTACTCAGGTAGGGGGGGTCAGGTAGGTGCTCCCCTGTACTCAGGTAGGGGGTGTCAGGTAGGGGCTCCCCTGTACTCAGGTAGGGGGTGTCAGGTAGGGGCTCCCCTGTACTCAGGTAGGGGGTGTCAGGTAGGGGCTCCCCTGTACTCAGGTAGGGGGTGTCAGGTAGGGGCTCCCCTGTACTCAGGTAGGGGGTGTCAGGTAGGGGCTCCCCTGTACTCAGGTAGGGGGTGTCAGGTAGGTGCTCCCCTGTACTCAGGTAGGGGGTGTCAGGTAGTGCTCCCCTGTACTCAGGTAGGGGGGTGTCAGGTAGGGGCTCCCCTGTACTCAGGTAGGGGGTTGTCAGGTAGGTGCTCCCCTGTACTCAGGTAGGGGGTGTCAGGTAAGGTGCTCCCCTGTACTCAGGTAGGGGCTGTCAGGTAGGGGGGGTGATGTCAGGTAGAGGGTGTCAGGTAGGGGCTCCCCTGTACTCAGGTAGGGGCTGTCAGGTAGGTGATGTCAGGTAGGTGCTCCCCTGTACTCAGGTAGGTGGTGGTCAGGTAGGTTCTCCCCTGTACTCAGGTAGGGGGTGTCAGGTAGGTGCTCCCCTGTGCTCAGGTAGGGGCTGTCAGGTAGGTGCTCCCCTGTGCTCAGGCAGGTGATAGGAGCGGTAGGTGCTCCGTACAGGTAAGTGCTCACCCAGGCTGAGGACCAGCACCGCCCTCCACACTCCGCTCCCGGCCGCCATTTTCTTTTTCTTCGTCTCTCTCGGTTTCGGTCAGATTCTGGGGGAAAAAAAAACAAGCCTTGGCCCCGCCCTCTGACATCACCGGCCTCACCTGGGCCCGCCCTCACCTGTCCTCCTTCCCGGATTGGACGCAGGTGGAGGCTCCTCCTCTTCCTTCCTGGGTGAGGCTCCTCTGCCACGCCCCGCCATTTATTACAAGAGAGGTGAGGAGGGCGAGGCCGGAAACTGCTGTCTGTTGGAGATGGGCGGGGCCTAGCTGAGGTGAGGAGATCGGTGATTGGTGACCAGTGACCGGGGAGGGGGAGGTCAGGTGTGACAACTTTCCGTACGGAACCGGGCGGGAGATTCTCCCCCCGATATCATCCCGGGAGAGGGGGGGATACACCGACCCCCCCCCACATACGGGAGAGGGGGGGATACACCGACCCCCCCCACATACGGGAGAGGGGGGGGGGATACACCGACCCCCCCCATACGGGAGAGGGGGGGATACACCGACCCCCCCCATACGGGAGAGGGGGGGGGGATACACCGACCCCCCCACATACGGGAGAGGGGGGGGGGATACACCGACCCCCATATACGGGAGAGGGGGGGGGGGATACACCGACCCCCCCCATATACGGGGAGAGGGGGGGGGATACACTGACCCCCCCATATACGGGAGAGGGGGGGGGATACACCGACCCCCCCATACGGGAGAGGGGGGGGGATACACCGACCCCCACATACGGGAGGGGGGGGGATACACCGACCCCCACATACGGGAGAGGGGGGGATACACCGACCCCCACATACGGGAGAGGGGGGGGATACACCGACCCCCCCCGGGGAGATGGTGGGACGGGAGGGGGGGGATACACCGACCCCCACATACGGGAGAGGGGGGGGGATACACCGACCCCCCCCACATACGGGAGAGGGGGGGGATACACCGACCCCCACATACGGGAGAGGGGGGGATACACCGACCCCCCCCCACATACGGGAGGGGGGGGGATACACCGACCCCCCCCATACGGGAGAGGGGGGGATACACCGACCCCCCACATACGGGAGAGGGGGGGGATACACCGACCCCCACATACGGGACGGGGGGGGGGGGATACACCGACCCCCACATACGGGAGAGGGGGGGGATACACCGACCCCCACATACGGGAGGGGGGGGGGGGGATACACCGACCCCCCCATACGGGAGAGGGGGGGGATGGATACACCGACCCCCCATACGGGAGAGGGGGGGGGGGATACACCGACCCCCCCCCACATACGGGGAGAGGGGGGGGGATACACCGAGCCCCCCCCCCACATACGGGGAGGGGGGGGGGATACACCGACCCCCCCACATACGGGGGAGAGGGGGGGGGGATACACCGACCCCCCCCCCCATACGGGAGAGGGGGGGGGATACACCGACCCCCACATACGGGAGAGGGGGGGGATACACCGACCCCCCCATACGGGAGAGGGGGGGGGATACACCGACCCCCACACCGGGAGAGGGGGGGGATACACCGACCCCCACATACGGGAGAGGGGGGGGGATACACCGACCCCCACATACGGGAGTGGGGGGGGATACACCGACCCCCCATACGGGAGAGAGGGGGGGGATACACCGACCCCCACATACGGGAGAGAAGGGGGGGATACACCGACCCCCCACATACGGGATGAGGGGGGGGATACACCGACCCCCACATACGGGGGAGATTGGGGGGATATTAACCGACCCCCCCATGTCCATACGGGAGAGGGGGGGATTACACCGCTTCCCCCCCACATATGGGGCAGGAGAGTCGGGGGGTGGAACCTTTCCTACCCCCACACGTACGGCGAGAGGGGGGGGGGATACTACCGACCCCCACACTAGGACGGCTCTCATTGGCTTGGGGGGATTCACATGTCACATTCGGGAGACTGGGGGGGGGTTCTCAGACATGCCGGAACGCCCACCGACCCCCACATACGGGAGAGACGGGGGGGGATACCAACCGACCTCCCCACGCATACATGGAGTTAGGGGGGGATGCACCGACCCCCCCCCCCATTAGGGGTGGGGGGGATACACCGACCCCCCCCACATTATTACAGTTTTTGGGGGGGGATAACGAAGACAGACACACGTTCTTGTTTTATACGGGTATTAGGGGGCGTAGACACCCCACATACGGGAGACTTCTATCCTCTGAGTACACAGACACACCAAACACGAACATGCAGAAGAGCTGGGGGGATTTAGAAGAAGGACCTCCCTTCCACCCATCACGGATGCAGATGCCAATCAGCTTCTCATTGACCCCCAGTCTACACAAAAGCCATGTGACTACACCGCCTGTGACCCAGCATAGGCTCAGTCCCTGTGATTCAGCTGCTCAGCATTAGGCTTCGGGCGGAGCTCTCATGACCTGGATGCTGGGCTTCTCTGTGCACAGTGCGTCTGACAATGGTCCTCTTGGAGTTCTTGCTGAAGGTAACAATGCGGGTCTCAAGTCCCATCCAGATGACAGGATCCGCTTCATGTGAAGTGCTGTGTGGCGGAACCGTTCGGAGAATGAGAAAACGCTTTCCTAACGTGGAGCGACTTCCTGCAGCAATTAGGATCGGCAATGGTCTCCTTGTGGCTGACGCGGGATTTCAGCATGTCAGGGTGCTGGGGGGGGGGGGTCTAAGGTGGGTCGGTATCCAAGTCGCAGCATAGCCTTCCCTGAATCCCGAAACCACGAGTCGGAACTTCGTGTACAAGGGTGTTTTGATTGAAGGTCGGTAACTATCGGGCCTCCTTAGGGTGAATGAATGAAGGTCGGAATTCATGTTAGGGTGCGTCCCGAATGTCCTTTCCCTCCGTGTAGCCCCGTGAATGAAGCGAATGTCGGACACACATGTGAAATAATCCCCCCCATGAATAAGTTTTCGGAACATTTTGTAGGGCTGAACGAAGGACAATGTCACCGTTCGTGTTTTATCCGGCTGATTGAATGAAGGAATGTCGGAACTTCTATCCTCTGTAGGGTGACAGAACACCATGTGGGAACTTCATGTAGGATGAATAGAAGAAGGTCCTCCTCTTCCTGGTACCCCATCATCTGAATGAATGGCCAATCAGCTTCTGTGTAGGCTCTGAATGCATGGAATGTCGGAAGCCTGTAGGGACAAGCCAGGCTCATTGTGCTTTAGGGTGCAATTAAAATGTCGGAGCTTTCCGGCATTTCAAGTCCCTGGTGTTCAGGGTGAATGAAGGAAATGTCGGAACTGTTAGGTAGGGGAATGGCATGTCGGAACATGTAGGACTGCTGTGCAATGTCGGAACCGTTCGGCCTAGGGTGAATCGAAGCTGATGTCGGAACTTCGTGTAGGGTTGATGGATGGTCTCCTTGTCCTGGAACTGTTGTGTTAGGGTGCTCTGCCAAGGAATGTCGGTCGTTAGAGGGTGAACAAAATGGGGTCGGAACTTTCCCTGTAGGGGGAATACCAAAACCGACGAATGTCGGAACTTCGTGTAGGGTGAATGTGAAGGAATGTCGGAACTTCGTGTAGGGTGAATGAAGGAATGTCGGAACTGCGTGTAGGTGTAGGGTGAATGAAGGAATGTCGGAACTTCGTGTAGGGTGAATGAAGGAATGTCGGAACTTTGTGTAGGGTGAATGAAGGAATGTCGGAACTTCGTGTAGGGGTGAATGAAGGAATGTCGGAACTTCGTGTAGGGTGAATGTGAGGAATGTCGGAACTTCGTGTAGGGTGAATGAAGGAATGTCGGAACTTCGTGTAGGGTGAATGAAGGTCGGAAACTTCGTGTAGGGTGAATGAAGGTCGGAACTTCGTGTAGGGTGAATGAAGAATGTCGGAACTTCGTGTAGGGTGAATGAATGAAGGTCGGAACTTCGTGTAGGGTGAATGAATGAAGGTCGGAACTTCGTGTAGGGTGAATGAAGGAATGTCGGAACTTCGTGTAGGTGAATGAAGGAAAGTCGGAACTTCGTGTAGGGTTGAATGAAAGGAATGTCGGAACTTCGTGTAGGTGTGAATGAAGGAATGTCGGAACTTCGTTGTAGGGTGAATGGAATGTAGGTCGGAACTTCGTTGTAGGGTGAATGAATGAAGGTCGGAACTTCGTGTAGGGTGAATGATGAAGGTCGGAACTTCGTGTAGGGTGAATGAAGGAATGTCGGAAACTTTGTGTAGGATGAATGAATGAAGGTCGGAACTTCGTGTAGGGGTGAAGGAATGTCGGAACTTCGTGTAGGGTGATGAATGAATGTCGGAACTTCGTGTAGGGTGAATGAAGGAAAGTCGGAACTTCGTGTAGGGTGAATGAAGGAATGTCGGAACTTCGTGTAGGGTGAATGAAGGAATGTCGGAACTTCGTGTAGGGTGAATTGTCGTGTAGGGTGAATGAAGGAATGTCGGAACTTCGTGTAGGGTGAATGAAGGAATGTCGGAACTTCGTGTAGGGTGAATGAAGGAATGTCGGAACTACTTCGTGTAGGGTGAATGTAGGAATGTCGGAACTTCGTGTAGGGTGAATGAAGGAATGTCGGAACTTCGTGTAGGGTGAATGAAGGTGGAATGTCGGAACTTCGTGTAGGGTGAATGAAGGAATGTCGGAACTTCGTGTAGGTGAATGAAGGTCGGAACTTCGTGTAGGGTGAATGAAAGGAATGTCGGAACTTCGTGTAGGGTGAATGAATGAATGTCGGAACTTCGTGTAGGGTGAATGAAGGAATGTCGGAACTTCGTGTAGGGTGAATGAAGGAATGTCGGAACTTCGTGTAGGGTGAATGAAGGAATGTCGGAACTTGTGTAGGGTGAATGAAGGAATGTCGGAACTTTGTGTAGGGAATGAACTTGAAGGAATGTCGGAACTTCGTGTAGGGTGTAGGGTGTAATGAAGGAATGTCGGAACTTCGTGTAGGGTGAATGAAGGAATGTCGGAACTTCGTGTAGGGTGAATGAAGGAAGGTCGGAACTTCGTGTAGGGTGAATGAAGGAATGTCGGAACTTCGTGTAGGGTGAATGAAGGAAGGTCGGAACTTCGTGTAGGGTGAATGAAGGAATGGTCGGAACTTCGTGTAGGGTGAATGAAGGAATGTCGGAACTTCGTGTAGGGTGAATGAAGGAATGTCGGAACTTGCGTTTAGCGGTAAGGGTGAATGAAGGAATGTCGGAACTTCGTGTAGGGTGTAGGGTGTGTAGGGTGAATGAAGGAATGTCGGAACTTCGTGTAGGGTGAATGAAGGAATGTCGGAAACTTCGGTGTAGGGTGAATGAAGGAATGTCGGAACTTCGTGTAGGGGTGAATGAGGAATGTCGGAACTTCGTGTAGGGTGAATGAAGGAATGTCGGAACTTCGTGTAGGGGTGAATGAAGGTCGGAACTTCGTGTAGGGTGAATGAAGGAAGGTCGGAACTTCGTGTAGGGTGAATGAAGGAATGTCGGAACTTCGTGTAGGGTGAATGAAGGAAGGTCGGAACTTCGTGTAGGGTGAATGAAGGAATGTCGGAACTTCGTGTAGGGTGAATGAAGGAATGTCGGAACTTCGTGTAGGGTGAATGAAGGAATGTCGGAACTTCGTGTAGGGTGAATGAAGGAATGTGTAGGGGGAACTTCGTGTAGGGTGAATGATGGAATGTCGGAACTTCGTGTAGGGTGAATGAAGGAATGTCGGAACTTCGTGTAGGGTGAATGAAGGAAAGTCGGAACTTCGTGTAGGGTGAATGAAGGAATGTCGGAACTTCGTGTAGGGTGAAGGGTCGGAAATGAATGTCGGAACTTCGTGTAGGGTGAATGAATGAATGTCGGAACTTCGTGTAGGGTGAATGAATGTCGGAACTTGTGTAGTGAATGAATGTCGGAACTTCGTGAAGGAATGTCGGAACTGCGTGTAGGGTGAATGAAGGAATGTCGGAACTTTGTGTAGGGTGAATGAAGGAATGTCGGAACTTCGTGTAGGGTGAATGAAGGAATGTCGGAACTTCGTGTAGGGTGAATGAAGGAATGTCGGAACTTCGTGTAGGGTGAATGAAGGAATGTCGGAACTTCGTGTAGGAGTGAATGAAGGAATGTCGGAACTTCGTGTAGTGAATGAATGAAGGTCGGAACTTCGTGTAGGGTGAATGAATGAATGTCGGAACTTCGTGTAAGGGGGAATGAAGGTCGGAACTTCGTGTAGGGTGAATGAAGGAATGTCGGAACTCGTGTAGGGTGAATGAAGGAATAGTGCCGGAACTTCGTGTAGGGTGAATGATTGGTTGAATGTCGGAACTTCGTGTCATTGGTGGAATGAATGAATGGTCGGAACTTCGTGTAGGAATAGTGAATGATTGGAATGTCGGAACTTCGTGTAGGGTGAATGTGAATGTCGGAACTTGTGTAGTGGGAGGGTGAATGAAGGAATGTCGGAACTTCGTGTAGGTGAATGAAGGAATGTCGGAACCCATCATTGTAGGGTGAATGAAGGAATGTCGGAACTTCGTGTAGGGTGATGAAGGAATAGTCGGAACTTCATGTGGTGTGAATGAAGAATAGTCGGAACATCGTGTAGGGTGAATGATCAGGAATGTCGGAAACTTCGTGTCAGTAGGGTGAATGAAGGTGTCGGAAACATCTTCGTGTAGGGTGAATGAATGAAGGTCGGAACTTGGTGTAGGGTGAAGGAATGTCGGAACTTCGTGTAGGGTGAATGAAGGAAGGAATTGGAAGTGGGTGGAGGAATGTCGTCGAATCAGGTGTAGGGTGAATGAAGGAATGTCGGAACTTTGGTGTAGGGTGAATGAAGGTCGGATCTTCGTGTAGGGTGAATGAAGGAATGTCGGAACTTCGTGTAGGGTGAATGAGGAATGTCGGAACATTGGTGTCGTGTGGGTGAGTGAGGAATAGTCGGAACTTCGTGTAGGGTGAAGGAAGGTGTCGGAACTTCGTGTAGGGTGAATGAAGGAATAGTCGGAACATGGTGTAGGTGAATGAATAGTCGGAACTTCGTGTAGTGAATGAATAGTGCCCCATCATTCGTGTAGGGTGGAAGGAATGTCGGAACTTTGTCGTGTAGGGTGAATGGAAGGAATAGTCGGATCTTGGTGTAGGGTGAATGAGGAAGTGTCGGAACATTCGTGTAGGGTGAATGAAGGAATGTCGGAACTTTGGTGTAGGGTGAATGAAGGAAAGTCGGAACTTCGTGTAGGGTGAATGAAGAATGTCGGAACATCATGTGTAGGGTGGGAGGAAGTCGGCCCCATCATTGGTGTAGTGAATGAAGGAATAGTCGGAACTGCGTGTAGGTGAATGAAGTGTCGGAACTTCGTGTAGGGTGAATGAAGGAATGTCGGAACTTCTGGTGTAGGAGGGTGAATGAAGTGCCCCATCATTGGTGTCAGGGTGAATGAGTGTAGGGGAATGAAGTGATACTCATTGGTGTCAGTAGGGTGAATGAAGAGGGAATATGTCGGAACATTGGTGTCAGTGGAATGAATAATGTCGGAACTTTGGTGTCAGGTGTGAATGAAGGAAGTGCCCCGATCACTTCGTGTAGTGTGAGTGGAGGAATAGTCGTCAGTGGGAGGAAACATTGGTCGTCAGTGGGAGGAATATGCCCCAGGAATGTCGGAGAAGTGCGTGTAGTGGTGAAGGAAGTGTCCCCATCATTGGTGTAGGGTGAAGGATAGGAATGGGTCGGAACTTCGTGTAGGGTGTCAGTGGGAGGAATAGTGCCCCTTCGTGTAGGGTGTCAGTGAAGGTCGGATACTTGCCCCATTAGGTGTCAGTGGAGGAATAGTGCCCCATCATTGGTGTCAGTGGGGGGAGGAATAGTGCCCCATCGTGTAGGTGAATGAATGTCAGTGGGGAGGAGGAATAGTGCCCCATCATTGGTGTAGTGGGGAATGAAGGAATAGTCGGAATCATAGGTGTCAGGGGGGAAGGAATAGTGAACCCCGTCATAGGTGTCAGTGGGAGGAAGGAATAGTGCCCCATCATTGGTGTCAGTGGGGGGATGAATTGTGCCCCATCTTGGTGTCAGGGGTGGGAAGGAAGGAATGTGCCCTTCGTCATGTAGGTGTCAGTGGGAGGAATAGTGCCCCGTCATAGGTGTCAGTAGGGTGGAGGAATAGTGCCCCATCATTGGTGTCAGTGGGAGGAATGAAGTGCCCCAATTGGTGTGTGGTGGGAGGAATAGTGCCCCGTCATTGTCGTGTCAGTGGGAGGAATAGTGCCCCGTCATTTCGTGTCAGTGGGAGGAATAGTGAACCCCGTCATTGGTGTCAGTGGAGGAATAGTGCCCATCGTGTTGGTGTCAGTGGGAGGAATAGTGCCCCGTCACTTGGTGTCAGTGGGAGGAATAGTGCCCCGTCATTGGGTGTCAGTGGTGAATGATAGTGCCCCGTCATTGGGAACTTGTCAGTAGGGAGGAATAGTGCCCCGTCATTGGTGTCAGTGGGAGGAATAGTGTCCCTTCGTTGGTGTCAGTGGGGGGAGGAGTGAATAGTGCCCCATAGGGTGAATTGGTGTCTTCGTGGGGGGAGGAATAGTGCCCCATCATTGGTGTCAGTGGGGAAGGAATAGTGCCCCATCATTGGTGTCAGTGGGGGGAGGAATAGTGCCCATCATTGGTGTCAGTGGGGGGAATAGTGCCCCATCGTTGGTATCAGTGGGGGGAATAGTGTCCCATCATAGGTGTGGGGGGAGGAATAGGTGCCCCATCCTTGGTGTCAGTGGGGTGAAGGAAGTGTGCCCCATCATTGGTGTCAGTGGGGGGAGGAATAGTGCCCCATCATTGGTGTCAGTGGGGGGAATAGTGCCCCATCATTGGTGTCAGTGGGGGGGAGGAATAGTGCCCCATCATAGGTGTCAGTGGGGGAGGAATAGTGCCCCATCATTGGTGTCAGTGGGTGGAGGAATAGTGCCCCATCATTGGTGTCAGTGAATAGTGGGGAGGAATAGTGCCCCATCATAGGGTGTCAGTGGGGGGGAATAGTGCCCCATCGTTGGTATCAGTGGGGGGAGGAATAGTGCCCCATCCTTGGTGTCAGTGGGGGGAGGAATAGTGCCCCATCATTGGTGTAGGGTGGGGGGAGGAATAGTGCCCCATCATTGGTGTCAGTGGGGAGGAGGAATAGTGCCCCATCATTGGTGTCAGGGGGGGAGGAATAGTGCCCCATCATTGGTGTCAGGGTGGGGGAGGAATAGTGCCCCATCATAGGGTGTAGGTGATGGAGGAAATAGTGCCCCATCATTGGTGTCAGTGGGGGGAGGAATAGTGCCCCATCATTGGTGTCAGTGGGGAATGAGGAATAGTGCCCCTTCATTGGTGTCAGTGGGGAGGAGGTGAATAGTGCCCCATCATAGGTGTCAGTGGGAGGAGGAATAGTGCCCCATCACTTGGTGTCAGTGGGGAGGAGGAATAGTCCCATCATTGGTGTCAGGGGGGAGGATGTCGGAATAGTGCCCCATCATTAGGGTGTCAGTGGGGGGAGGAATAGTGCCCCATCATAGGTGTAGGGGGGGAATAGTGCCCCATCATGTGGTGTCAGTGGGGGGAATAGTGCCCCATCATTAGGTGTCAGGGGGAGGAATAGTGCCCCATCCTTGGTGTCAGTGGGGGGAGGAATAGTGCCCCATCTTGGTGTCAGTGGGGGGAGGAATAGTGCCCCATCCTTGGTGTCAGTGGGGAAGGAATAGTGCCCCATCCTTGGTGTCAGTGTGGGGGAGGAATAGTGCCCCATCCTGGGTGGTGTCGGAACTTGTGTGGGGGGGGAATTGTGCCCCATCATTGGTGTCAGTGGGGGGAGAATTGTGCCCCATCTTCGTTAGGGTGTGTCAGTGGGGGGAGGAATTGTCCCATCCTTGGTGTCAGTGGGGGGAGGAATTGTGCCCCATCCTTGGTGTCAGTGGGGGAGGAATAGTGCCCCATCTTGGTGTCAGTGGGGGATGAATAGTGCCCCATCGTTGGTGTCAGTGGGAGGAATAGTGTCCCATCGTTGGTGTCAGTGGGAGGAATAGTGCCCCATTATTGGTATTAGTGACACCAATGATGGGGCATATTCCCACTGACACCAATGATACTTACCTTGCAGACCCCTGCTCCAGCCTGGGTCGCTCGCTCCCTCCCTATAGGGTAATGACACTTACCTGTCAGCTGTCTTCCTTCTCCGGCCGCTCTGTCGGAACTTCACTCGGGTGATCTTCGCGGTCGGCCGCTCGTGCTCCTCCTCTCCAAGCTCCACCTCCTTGTCAGGGTGATTGGCCGCCTGTGTGCCTCTCCTGAGCTACAGTGCCCGGGCCAATTACAGGATGAATGAGGATTGATCTCGAGGTGTGTCCAGATGTCGGGGCGGCATGTCATCCCGAATGAATGAAAGTCGGAACTTTGGTGGCGGCGGCGAGGAGTCGTGAACTCGGTTCCTAAGATGTCATCGGAAATAGGGTGTTTTCCGATGGTCTTAGGGAACCCCTGTGGAGGCGTCGAATGACCCCCAGGTTGGAACTTCGTGGTGTAGGGGGAATGAAGGAAAGTCGGAACTTCGTGTAGGGGGAATGTAGGAAAGTCGGAACTTCGTGTAGGGGGAATGTAGGAAAGTCGGAACTTCGTGTAGGGGGAATGTAGGAAAGTCGGAACTTCGTGTAGGGGGGGAATGAAGGAATGTCGGAACTTCGTGTAGGGGGAATGAAGGAAAGTCGGAACTTCGTGTAGGGTGAATGAAGGAATGTCGGAACTTCATGTAGGGGGAATGAAGGAATGTCGGAACTTCGTGTAGGGGGAATGAAGGAATGTCGGAACTTCGTGTAGGGGGAATGAAGGATAGTCGGAACTTCGTGTCGAATGAATGATAGTCGGAACTTCGTGTAGGGGGAATGAAGGAAAGTCGGAACTTCGTGTAGGGGGAATGAAGGAAAGTCGGAACTTCGTGTAGGGGGAATGAAGGAAAGTCGGAACTTCGTGTAGGGGGAATGAAGGAAAGTCGGAACTTCGTGTAAGGGGAATGAAGGAATGTCGGAACTTCATGTAGGGGGAATGAAGGAATGTCGGGAACTTCGTGTAGGGTGAATGAAGGAATGTCGGAACTTCCTGTAGGGTGAAATGAATCAATCTTTATTGAACACAGCTCAGTATGTACAGCTTCACCCCCCCAGACAGCCTGGTACCGGGATTTCCCCACCCACAACAAATCCTACAACCAACAATACAGTATGAACTCTATAGAAGGGAAAGACAACAAGGTCACATTTCCCTAAACAGAGTAGAATGTCTGTCTACATAACAGCTGCTAAACATATACAGCTTTACAAAGGAGAGAACGGGGAGGGCCGCTTACCGAGGGGAGAACGGGGAGGGCCGCTTACCGAGGGGAGAACGGGGAGGGCCGCTTACCGAGGGGGGGAGAACGGGGAGGGCCGCTTACCGAGGGGAGAACGGAAAAAGACCTTATCGAGGGGAGACCGCTTACTGAGGGGAGACCGCTTACCGAGGGGAGAACGGGGAGGGCCGCTTACCGAGGGGGGAGGACGGGAAGACCTTATCGAGGGGAGACCGCTTACCGAGGGGAGAACGGGGAGACCGCTTACCGAGGGGAGGACGGGAAGGACGCTTACCGAGGGGAGGACGGGAAGGACGCTTACCGAGGGGGGGAGAACGGGGAGACCGCTTACCGAGGGGAGAACGGAAAGACCTTACTGAGGGGAGGACGGGAAGGCCGCTTACCGAGGGGAGAACGGAAAGACCTTATCGAGGGGAGACCGCTTACAGGGGAGGGGAGGACGGGAAGGCCGCTTACCGAGGGGAGAATGGGGAGACCACTTACCAAGGGGATAAAACCAGAACAGAAAGGGCGAAATGTGATCACACAGGGACAGTTTGTCACAAGGCTTCCCCGTTGTGTAACACCCGCCAGACCCGGCAAGACCTTCAAATGGGTCCGCTTGGGGCTGGTTGGTTCAGAGGGTTACTTCTCTCGGCTTGCTGGGACAACCCATCCGTGTTGGTGTTTTGCTTCCCGTGTCGGTACTGGATGGTAAAGTTATAGGGTTGGAGGGCCAAGCTCCACCGCAGCAGACGACCATTGTTCCCGGAGACCCGGTTTAGCCATACCAGGGGGTTGTGATCGGTGAGTACGGTGAAGGAGCGCCCATACAGGTAGGGCTGCAATTTCTTGAGGGCCCATACCAAGGCAAGACACTCTCCATAGCAGCGTAGGCCACCTCCCGGGGTAACAGCTTTCTACTTAGGTAGGCCACTGGATGGTCGTTCCCGATTTGGCTCAGAACAGCGCCCAATCCAAAGGTGGAGGCATTGGTGTGAACACAAAACCATTTGGAAGGGTCAGGAGCAGCCAAAACGGGAGCATGGATCAGATCACGTTTGAGCTTTTGGAAAGTCGTTTCACACTCTGGGGACCACACAACCTGTCGGGGGAGATTCTTCCGGGTCAGATCCATTAGGAGTTTAGCAATGGCCCTGTAGTTGGGGATGAATTTATGGTAGTACCCCGCAGTGCCTAGGAAGGCAAGGACCTGGGTCTTGGTTTGGGGAGTGGGCCAATTTGCTACCACTTCCACCTTTGCTGGTGCCAGTCGTAGCTTCCCACATCCTACCCGATGTCCTAGATATTGGACCTCGGACACCCCAACATGGAATTTGTCCGGCCGGATGGTCAGCCCTGCTTGCCCAATGTGATCAAGCACTTCCCTGAGATGTCGAAGGTGATCCTCCCAACTATCACTGTAGATAGCTATATCGTCTAGATAGGCGTAGAAGTCCTGCAGTCCATCCAGCAGCTTATCTACCATTTTCTGAAAGGTAGCCGGGGCGTTCTTCATCCCAAACGGCATGACCCTGGGCTGGTACAAGCCGAACGGGGTGATGAATGCCGACTTTGGTGCCGCATCCCCATCCAGAGGAATCTGCCAGTCCCCCTGGCAGAGATCGATAGTGGCAAGAAAATTACCTCTGGTCATCTGGTCCAGCAACTCATGTATCCGGGGCATGGGGTATGCATCGGTCACGGTCTGGTCATTGAGCCTGCGGTAGTCCACACAGAACTGGACGGTTCCGTCCTTTTTGGGTACCAGGACTACTGGGGAGACCCAGGGACTGTCAGAGGGTTCTATCACACCTAAATCCAACGTTTCCTTAATCTCTCCTCATCCCTTCTCTGATGGACTCGGTAGGCTGCCTGCCACAGGAGGGCCAGACCCTGCATGTCCAACCGGTGGGCAGTTGTGGGTGTGTAACCGGGCAGAGACGAGAACAGCCCTCGGTGCTCTTGGAGCAGTTGGTGGGCCTGTTCCTGGGCCTTGGGAGTCAGCCTTGTGCTGATCTCTACATCCGCTACACTCAGCTGGGACTGTCCGTCCCCCGGCAGCCCCGGCAGAAGAAGCGTTTCTGAGTCATCGGTAGCCGGAGCACAAATAGCAGCTACACTCTCCTCCTGTCATTCGATGAACGGTTTCAGCATATTCACATGGAAGGTTCGCCGGATCCTTCCATCTGAACAGCGAGCTACAATGTATGTGGGATCACAGAGTTGCTCCACCACTTGGTACGGCCCTCCCAGGCAGCCTGTAATTTGTCATGCCTGACTGGTTTCAAGGCCAACACTTTCTGTCCTAAGTGAAACGTTCGGTCTCGGGCAGACTGGTCGTACCACCGTTTCTGTCTGCTCTGGGCGGCCTCAAGGTTGTCCTGTACTAGTGTCGTCAACTGTTGTAGTCTCTCCCTGAGCGCCAGCACATAGGCCACCTAGAGGTCCCCTCCTTGGCCACTGCTCCCTCCCAGTGTTCGCGTAGGAGATCCAGGGGTCCCCGAACCCTCCGGCCGTACAGCAGCTCGAAGGGAGAGAATCCAGTGGACTCCTGCAGTACCTCTCGGTAGGCGAACAGGAGGTGGGAAGATGCCGCTCCCAGTCCTTATGGGACATGGTGAACGTTCGGAGGAGCTGTTTCAGTGTACCGTTTAAACCATTCACAGAGCCCATTGGTCTGGGGGTGGTAGGGAGAGCTGTACAGCGGTCTGATCCCACACAACTTCCAGAGTTGTTGGGTAAGCTCGGCCGTGAACTGCGTGCCTTGGATGGTCAGGATCTCCCGAGGAAATCATACCCGAGTAAAGATCTGCAGCAGGGCTTCAGCAACTGTTTCTGCCTGCACATCTCTCAGCGCTTC